TCTACTGCAGGTGGTAAATGGGACACAAGAAAGCAGCGGTTGAATTCACAGATGTGAGCGCATCAGGCTGTAATTTCGTAAAGTATATACAGTGAGGGAAAAAAGTATTTGATCCCCTGCTGATTTAGTACATTTGCCAACTGACAAAGAAATTATCAGTCTATAATTTTAATGGTAGGTTTATTTGAACAGTGAGAGACAGAATAACAACAAAAAAATCCAGAAAAAACGCATGTCAAAAATGTTATTAATTGATTTACATTTTAATGAGGGAAATAAGTATTTGACCCCCTCTCAATCAGAAAGATTTCTGGCTCCCAGGTGTCTTTTATACAGGTAAAGAGCTGAGATTAGGAGCACACTCTTAAAGGGAGTGCTCCTAATCTCAGTTTGTTACCTGTATAAAAGACACCTGTCCACAGAAGCAATCAATCAGATTCAAAACTCTCCACCATGGCCAAGACCAAAGAGTTCTCCAAGGATGTCAGGGACAAGATTGTAGACCTACACAATGCTGGAATGGGCTACAAGACCATGGCCAAGCAGCTTGGTGAGAGGGTGACAACAGTTGTTGCGATTATTCGCAAATGGAAGAAACACAAAAGACTGTCAATCTCCTTGGCCTGGGACTCCATGCACGATCTCACCTCGTGGAGTTGCAATGATCATGAGAATGGTGAGGAATCAGCCCAGAACTACACGGGAGGATCTTGTCAATGATCTCAAGGCAGCTGGGACCATAGCCACCAAGAAAACAATTGGTAACACACTACACCGTGAAGGACTGAAATCCTGCAGTGCCCGCAAGGTCCCCCTGCTCAAGAAAGCACATATACATGCCCGTCTGAAGTTTGCCAATGAACATCTGAACGATTCAGAGGAGAACTGGGTGAAAGTGTTGTGGTCAGATGAGACCAAAATGGAGCTCTTTGGCATCAACTCAACTCGCCATGTTTGGAGGAGGAGGAATGCTGCCTATGACCCCAAGAACACCATCCCCACCGTCAAACATGGAGGTGGAAACATTATGCTTTGGGGGTGGGGGTTTCTGCTAAGGGGACAGGACAACTTCACCGCATCAAAGCGACGATGGACGGGGCCATGTACAGTCAAATCTTGGGTGAGAACCTCCTTCCCTCAGCCAGGGCATTGAAAATGGGTCGTGGATGGGTATTCCAGCATGACAATGACCCAAAACACACGGCCAAGGCAACAAAGGAGTGGCTCAAGAAGAAGCACATTAAGGTCCTGGAGTGGCCTAGCCAGTCTCCAGACCTTAATCCCATAGAAAATCTGTGGAGGAGCTGAAGGTTCAAGTTGCCAAACATCAGCCTCGAAACCTTAATGACTTGGAGAAGATCTGCAAAGAGGAGTGGGACAAAATCCCTCCTGAGATGTGTGCAAACCTGGTGGCCAATAAAATAAACGTCTGACCTCTGTGATTGCCAACAAGGGTTTTGCCACCAAGTACTAAGTCATGTTTTGCAGAGGGGTCAAATACTTATTTCCCTCATTAAAATGCAAATCAATTTATAACATTTTTGACATAAGTTTTTTTTTCCGCACTGTTCAAATAAACCTACCATTAAAATTATAGACTGATCATTTCTTTGTCAGTGGGCAAACGTACAAAATCAGCAGGGGATCAAATACTTTTTTCCCTCACTGTATATAGATAACTCAACTGTTGACTCATTTGTACTTGCTTGTGTGTCTTATTGTCCTTTAGTACTTATTTATACCCACATGTGAATCCTTTGTCTTATAACTTTTTGACAACCGACATCACATTTTCTGTAGGCCACAGCAATGACCGTTGGAACCAAAAAATGGCATGGATATTTCGCCTAAAGCTTGTTTAAACTTTCAGTCCGGTAGAAGAGTCAGTCAGTGCCATTAGTGATGATATGATACAGTGCTCTGGCTGGCTCATGTTTGGGTGTGGGTGTCGGTCTGGGAGGAGGAGTGTGTGTGTGGGTCTGGGAGGAGGAGTGTGTGTGTGGGTCTGGGAGGAGGAGTGTGTGTGTGTGTGGGTCTGGAAGGAGGCGTGTGTGTGTGGGTCTGGGAGGAGGAGTGTGTGTGTGGGTCTGGGAGGAGGAGTGTGTGTGTGTGTGGGTCTGGGAGGAGGAGTGTGTGTGTGGGTCTGGGAGGAGGAGTGTGTGTGTGGGTCTGGGAGGAGGAGTGTGTGTGTGGGTCTGGGAGGAGGAGTGTGTGTGTGGGTCTGGGAGGAGGAGTGTGTGTGTGGGTCTGGGAGGAGGCGTGTGTGTGTGGGTCTGGGAGGAGGAGTGTGTGTGTGGGTCTGGGAGGAGGAGTGTGTGTGTGTGGGTCTGGGAGGAGGAGTGTGTGTGTGTGTGGGTCTGGGAGGAGGAGTGTGTGTGTGGTGTGCAGCACATTGGCTGTGACTTGTAGCGCAACGCATCGCCGCTGACTTTTTAGGCATTCATTCACAACACCCTGTCCTTACAATCAGTTTCTGCATCAGTGATTGATTAGTAAGAACACTTGATGCCCTTGCAGCTCCTCAGCGGATTGAAACTGCAACATTAACACTTCTCTATAACTTTAACCATTTTCTATCACCTCTGACCTTAATCTGTACTACTGTAATCATAGTTTATTTGATGAGCACTTAATGTAATGAGTAGGCTACATGAAGGGACATTAAAAGTTTGTCAGATGTTTTCAGACCTCTAATGTATTCTAATGTTGTGGGATATGGTTTCAACTTGACATTACTCTACTTTTGAGGTATGAAAATATTTCCATTTATGAGTGAAATGTCCCTTTAAGGCAACCAAATCTCTCTCACATACCTAGATTATTTTGCAAATAAATGCCATTTAACAACCCACCTTCAAATGCTATCAATCCCCCTTCCATTCATCAAGAATGCTGTTGTCTGTGTTTAGTGAGAATGGATGTGGGGGCTAACAGAAGTGCTCTTTTTTATACAGATGATGGACAAATTGGGTCTAGAAATGTAAATGAGAACAGTCAAAACAACAAAGGATAGTGCCTCCTGTTCAGTTTTCTCAGGCTTTCCGATTTTACTAGCATACCTCTCGCCACCACCCATAAACCATGTTGACGTCCAAATACCAGACAGAATAATATTTATTATCCTCAAAAACTACAGATGGCATTTTTGAGTTTATTTTTTTTTTTTAAATCAAAAATCCCTCTTTCCCCATGAAGTGTATTTGGCCCATAAACCCTGGCTGTGTCCCAAATGGCACCCTATTCCCTATATAGTGCACTACTTTTGTCCATGGGCCCTGCTCAAAAGTAGTGAACTATCCTGAACAAAAATATAAACGCAACATGTAAAATGTTGGTCCCATGTTTCATGAGCTGAAATAAAAATTGTTTACATCAATATTAGTGAGCATTTCTGCTTTGCCAAGATAATCCATCCACCTGACTGGTGTGGCATATCAAGAAGCTGATTAAACAGCATGATCATTACACAGGTGCACCTAGTGCTGGGGACAATAAAAGGCCACTTTAAAATGTGCCGTTTTGTCACACAACACAATGCCACAGATTTCTCAAGTTTTGAGGGAGCGTACAATTGTCATGCTGACAGCAGGAATGTCCACCAGAGCTGTTGCCAGATAATTGAATGTTAATTTCTCTACCATAAACTGCCTCCAACGTCGTTTTAGAGAATTTGGAAGTACGTCCAACCGACCTCACAACCGCAGACCACATCCGGCTTCTTCACCTGCAGAATCGTCTGAGACCAGCCACTCGGACAGCTGATGAAATTGAGGATTATTTATGTCTGTAATAAAGACCTTTTGTGGGGAAGAACTAATTCTGATTGGCTGGGCCTGGCTCCCCAGTGGGTAGGCCTATGCCCTCCCAGGCCCACCCATGGCTACACCCCTGCTCAATCATGTCAAATCCATAGATTAGGGCCTAATTTATTTATTTCAATTGACTGATTTCCTTATATGAACTGTCACTCAGTAAAATCATTGAAATTGTTGCATGTTAAGTTTATATTTTTGTTCAGTATATATAGGGAATAGGTTGTCATTTGGGATGTAGACCTTGTCTTTCCCTTATATTGAGAGCAGAGGAACAACAACAAGTGGCTCCAGACAGAGGCAGAGCGTTCAGTGGCTCCAGTAAAGCCTGTAGTGCATAGCCTAGGTCTCCCCATAGCCTAGGTCTCCCCATAGCCTAGGTCTCCCCATAGCCTAGGTCTCCCCTTAGCATTGTCAGCTCATTTTGGCCATATCCATTTCAGGAGTATTTGAACAAGTTCAAGTGCTGTTCTAAATTCTAAATGTATGTATTCATTAATGTAATGTACTTGGAATTTCACTTATGCTGTTTTGCTTCTTTTGAGTGTAGGTAGTAGACACTTGTCGTGTTTTCGTGGTTGGAAGTTGCATGTTGCAAATTGTCCACTGGAGTAGCTTACTATGCAAGTTTTAAAAGTAGTTTAACTGCAAATCCAGAATTGCACAGAAAATTAACAAGATGTGTGCTTTGTTTTCTGTACGATTGTTCTACTAAACACGCACATACACACATGTTATGTTCTTCTATCCTCGTAGGGAACTGAAATGTATTTCCATAAAAAATTATATTCTCCCTAACACTAAATCTAACCCTAACCCTAACCCTAACCCTAACCCTTACCCTTACCATAACCCTTACCCTTACCCCTAACCCTAAACCTAGCCCCTAAGCTTAAAATAGCCTTTGTCCACATGGGGATGTGGGAAATGTCCCCACGAGGGCAAACGTTCCTTGTTTTACTATCCTTGTGGGGACTTTTGGGGATTTTAGGTCCCCACAAGGGTAGAAGAACCAACCCACACACATCGCTCTGTCTTGCCTGCTGGTGCGTTACTTTGTTGTGCAGTGCACCCAGTCCTAGTGGAGCCCTGCCTTGGAGGAATGGCTGTGCGCTCTCTTGGGGGACGTGGCCAGAGTGAACAAATCATGCTAATTGTCTGGGACAGAAACAGAGCGTTAGACCCAAGATGAAGGCAGAGAGGGAAGCTCTCTCCAAAGCCATAGCCGCTCCTCAACTTTTGCTGCTCTGGTGTCTCCTTGTTCTGTCCCAGTCAGGTAAGGAAAACTTTCCCCTGTTTTTGGGAAACACATCTGTGCTGACTTAAAGCAATGTGTAGTGTACACTTGCAAGGCAAGGCAATGTGGGTGGGAGGTATTTGGAATGGAGTGGACAAGTAAACGGTTTCTGACTGAGAGATTTGTTTGTCTGATAGGTTGGACACGTACATTTTGTGTTTTTCATGTCCTACTTGCAAAAATATGTTAAATTATGCCTACTTTTGCTTGTAAATGTGTTTATGTAAATGCATATATTCAATTAAAAATATGATTTTCCAAGTAATTCAACAGCAGCCAATTAAGGCCCCTATTATGAATCTACATGTTTCTGAATATTCATTAATTCGATTATCATTAATGCATTAGTACCATATAAGTTACAAAAAACTATTACATTAAACACAATTTCCATGTCAAACAAGCAAATAAACATTTCCTTATTGTATACTAGCTTACACTGAGTGTACATAACAATCCTTTGGTTTCCTTTGGTCTCTACTGACTTAGGTAATTCTGCTTTAAGTTGTTTTGCATGTTATCTGTGGAACAATCTTCAAAACGTTCTTAAATTTGATGTTTTGGTGACTCTAGGCCAATTCAGAAAGCTGATTGATGACCTTGTTACTGATGAATGTGTTTGTTTTTTATGACCGTTTTTCTTTCTTTCTTTCTGCTTGCATTTTGTATTTATATTTTGATGTGTGTATTTTCTGTAATTCATGTAATTCAGGGTTCTTCTGTAAAAGAGACCTTGGTCTCAGTATCAGTATGACTCCCTGATAAAATAAAGGTTAAATAAATAAAAATTAGGAACCCCTGCTCTTTCCATGACAGAGACTGACTAGGTGAATCCAGTTGAAAGCTATGAACCCTTAACGATGTCACTTGTGAAATCCACTTCAATCAGTGTAGATAAAGGGGAGGAGACAGGTAAAAGAAGGATTTTTAAGCCTTGAGACAATTCAGACATGGATTGTGTATGTCTGTCAATTAAGGTGCCACCAACCTCCTGTGGTATGCAGTTAGGTGCCAGGCACACAGGTTTGAGTGTGTCAAGAACTGCAACGCTGCTGGGTTTTTCACGCTCAACAGTTTCCCGTATGTATCAAGAATGGTCCACCACCCAAAGGACATCCAGCAAATTTGACACAACTGTGGGAAGCATTGGAGTCAACATGGGCCAGCATCCATGTGGAACGCTTTTGACACCTTGTTGAGTCCATGCCCCCCTGATGGCAAAAGGGGGTGCAACACAATATTAGGAAGGTGTTCCTAATTATTTGTACACTCTGTGTATATTCAGATAAAAACCTATTTAAAACATTCAATCTGACTGCACAATGCCACACAGTACATCTCGTTATATTACTAATCCTAAATGACTAGAAAACCATTTTGTGGTCAAGCTGATGACACTCATAATACGACACATAATCTGTGGATTTAATAAGAGATTGATGAAGATATATTATTTGGCAGAAAGCAGTCACAATGGGACCCAGATAAAGTCCTGGAGTAAAATGTACTTTCAATGGACATTCTCTGTTGAGAACTATTTTTTGTCCAGGATGGCTTAATCTGGGTTTAGGAAACCAGCCCACAAGGTTTAGACTTTAGAGAGTTTAAGTGTTTGTATTTGACCTCTGTAGAGCCCATGTGGGCACTACACTACTCAGATGTCTTCCGGATGGTTTAGCAGGTTAGCCAAAGTCCTCCACCAGTATGAATGCTGATGTCATGGAGCCAAACTGCTCTGTGAGAATGGCACAATCAGAGGATCCTCCAAGCAGAGAGGATCATGGTGAGAGGGCAGATGTTGGTTGGTACGAGGTTGGCAAAGGACCTGAGCTCAGGGTATTGAGGTGCGACCTAGAAACATAAAAGGAAAGCTATACGAAGAATCTATACTTTTGTAAATATATACTTCTAACTGTACATTAGGTGTGCAGACACAAACATAGAAAGAGGTGCGGTTGTGTTGTCATCAGCAGAATCACTGGGGCCCCTGTCTCCGGGCTCAGCCAATCGGGGAGCTTGTGTTGCTCTGAGGGCTCTTTTCATGGACTGCCAGGGAGGAAATTGGTCCAAACAATTCCGCCTTTTGTCAGCTCATCCCAGCCGTCCCAGAGAACTGCGAGCCATTACCACGGCGGTGCAGTGCTGCCACGCAGGCTCGCTCCAGCACACTCTCCCCCAATGGAGGAGGGGGCCCGGTGCCCACAGTCGAGTCATCAGCAGCCTACCGCCCACAACAACAGCCAGCAGAACTAGCTAGTCATTTGGCTCTCACTTTATAAGCCCAATCTGAACACATACTGTAGGCTATTTCCCTCACAGAGAAGAAACCTCTGGTCAATGAACTCTGAAAGTATTGCTACAAAATCTGTTGGCCATAAGTTAGACTGTTTGAAATATGCTGTTGAACTAGCTAAGGGGCTGAGAGGAGGAAGCTTAGCATATGCCTGGACAATGACCTGTTTACAATTAATAAAAGCATACCAATTTATCAACAAAGGTCTAGTCACGGCTGGTATTGGTGTGGAGATTGTGGACAGTCCAATATTCTTCAGAATATTAACATTCACAGAGTAATGGAATAGGAAAGGCAGTACATTTCCATCATGAAGTGGGCCAAGTCTCCTTGGGTACACAATCTGGATAAAGCTTGTTGTTGGATAGTGTCACGACCTGGCTCTGGGACTCTGTTATGTTGAGCCAGGGTGTGTTGTTTCTATATGTTTTGTGTGCTAGGTTGTTTATCTAGTTCATTTGTTTCTATGTTGGCCGGTGTGGTTCTCAATCAGAGGCAACGTGAATCAGCTGTTGCTTGTTGTCTCTGATTGGGAACCATACTTAGGCAGCCTGTTTTCCACAGTGTGTTGTGGGATCTTGTTCCGTGTATGGTTTGTGTCTGTAAACCAAGGACTTCACGTATCGTTTTGTTGTTTTGTTTGTGTGGTGGAAAATAATTAAAGTATGTTCACTCATCACGCTCCGCATTGGTCCACTTCCTCCAACGATCGAGACAGAAGATCCCACCAAAACAGGACCAAGCAGCGTGTCCAGGAGCACACGCAGGAGGTGACGTTGGTGGATGTCCTCCTCGGTTGGGGGCAGATCACGGAGGAGGAGGCCGTCCGTTGCCGGAGGGCTATGAAGGGGGAGACCCAGGCAGGAGAGGAGAAGCGGCGCCAACCGGGCCGTGGTCGGACAGGCGAGAGGCACCCCCAATACATTTTTAGGGGGGGGCACATGGCATGGACGACGGGGCTGCTGGAGGCAGATAAGGGGCGAGTTCGTGGACGAGGAGAGAAGGCCACCGGGTTACGGGAGCCATTGGTGAGAAGAGGGAAGGAAGATGTAGAGGCACGGCGAGAGGTACTGAGGTTTATTGCCAGTCCGGTCCGGCCCGTTCCTGAACCCCGTGTAAGGCCAGTGGTGTGTGTTCCCAGTACGGTCCGGCCTGTTCCTGTCCCTCGCACCAAGCCTACGGTGCGCGTCGCCAGCCCGGCCCGGCCTGTTCCTGCCCCTCGCACCAAGCCTACGGTGTGCGTCACCAGCCCGGCCCGGCCTGTTCCTTTCCCTCGCACCAAGCCTACGGTGCGCGTCGCCAGCCCGGCCCGGCCTGTTCCTGATCCCCGTGTAAGGCCAGTGGTGTGTGTTCCCAGTACAGTCCGGCCTGTTCCTGTCCCTCGCACCAAGCCTACGGTGCGCGTCGCCAGCCCGGCCTGTTCCTGCCCCTCGCACCAAGCCTGCGGTGCGCGTCGCCAGCCCGGCCCGGCCTGTTCCTTTCCCTCGCACCAAGCCTACGGTGCGCGTCGCCAGCCCGGCCCGGCCTGTTCCTGCTCCCCGCACCAAGCCTACGGTGCGCGTCGCCAGCCCGGCCCGGCCTGTTCCTTTCCCTCGCACCAAGCCTACGGTGCGCGTCGCCAGCCCGGCCCGGCCTGTTCCTGCTCCCCGCACCAAGCCAATGGTGCGCGTCGCCAGCCCGGCCCGGCCTGTTCCTGCCCCTCGCACCAAGCCTACGGTGCGCGTCGCCAGCCCGGCCCGGCCTGTTCCTGCTCCCCGCACCAAGCCAATGGTGCGCGCAGCCAGCCCGACCCGGCCTGTTCCTGCTCCCCGCACGTGTATGGTTTGTGTCTGTAAACCAAGGACTTCACGTATCGTTTTGTTGTTTTGTTCGTGTGGTGGAAAATAATTAAAGTATGTTCACTCATCACGCTGCGCATTGGTCCACTTCCTCCAATGATCGTGACAGATAGTTTGCTACTAGGCCTATTTAAAAGACACTTGTAGCATCCTGAAGTGGCATTGCAGGTAGGATACACCTGTGCCCTATTGTGGTTTAATGTATCAGTTTATCTATGTCTCACATGCGTGTAAGTTCCATTCGTATAAACAGAGACGCTAATCTGATTAGATAAAGAATAGAAATATGAATAGCAATATGCTAAATATAATATGTATGGTGGTGCTTACACATACTATAACCTGAATAAATTGACTAGATACAATAAAGTGGATCTTATACATCCAGTCTGTTCCATCTCCTCTATGACCAGGAAGTGTCGAGGGGGTCAACATCACCAGCCCTGGCTCCCTGATCCGAGGCACGTTGGGCGGGGAGGCACTCCTCTCCGTCCGCTACAGCAGCTCCAGCCCCGACGCGCCTGTCATCAAGTGGCAGCTGAAGAGGGACGACAAGCCTGTCACCGTGGTCCAGTCCATCGGCACCGAGATCATTGGGAACCTGAGGCCAGAGTACCGGGACCGCATCCTGGTGTTTGAGAATGGCACCCTCCTGCTCCACAACCTCAAGCTCTCTGACGAGGGCACCTACGAAGTGGAGATCTCCATTACGGATGATACATTCACTGGAGAGGGGAGTATCGACTTGACTGTGGATGGTAGGTGGTTCATAGTGTAAGTAAGCCTTGGAAAAGTAAGCCTTGTCCATGCCTTAACGGACCATAGGGTAGTAGCCTATGTCCTTATTCTGTAGCGTTAGGCAGTTTGATGTATAAGTACGCCCCCTGGACAGGACGCTAGTCTATCGCAGGACCTTATCTCTAATCCTTCTCCTTAATGCTGAGTGCCAAGCAGAGAGGCATCGACTACCATTTTTAGTCTTTGGTATGACTCTACCAATTTCAGGGTGGACACTAAGGTCACTAAGTTGGTTGGTGAATAGTCTTCTATGAAATGACTTGCATTAAAGAGGCGCTGCTTGCAGGGACTGCTGGCGTTGTCTGTGATAAAACCTAAGGCTTTTTGCCCTTTTTGTTTATATTTCTCATTTGTGTGACTGGGCTGAATTGTATGAATGGGCTGAATTTGTATGAATTGTCTGAATTGTCAAGGAAAGTGCAGGGGACAATAGTCCAAACAGTGTTGTTCCTGTAAAGTCATTGTTACATGGTCACCTGAGAAGGGTCACCTGAGAAGTTGTTTATGTACACCCGAGTTCATTAGCTCATGTGTGACTCACATATATATATATATATATTTAAACCATCATATCAGCATAACCTTTGACCCTGAATGAACAAGAGATCCTAATCTTTTCATTGGGGGTATTTCAGAGACATGTCTTGACATGTCTGACTACTATACTTCTTCTCCATAGAGCCCATATCCAGGCCTTATGTCCACATGGAGGCCTCTTCAGTGCTGGAGCTCAGCGAGCGCTTTACCCTCAACTGCTCCCACGACAACGGAACCAATGCCAAGTACAGCTGGCAGAAAGGCGGTAAACCGCTGACCAATGAGACGCGCCTGCAACTGTCACCTGACCAGAAGCTCTTGACAATCGTGCGGGTGCTGATGGTGGATGATGACATCTACGGCTGCGTGGTGGAGAACCCTATTGGCAGCATGAAGAGCCTGCCCATTAAACTCACTATCTACAGTAGGCTATACAGTGGTACTATAGGCTTGAACCAGTGGCAATTTAAAGCCACAATCTGCAATATGGTTTTCTATCAAATGCATCCACACCACTTGCTTTGCTATAAAGTTGAGGGATCGGGCTGGAGAAATTTAGCTAACTCCTGTAATACTCTCGCGATCTCTAACCCATGATATAGGCTTCTTTAGTAAGTACTCACTAAATAAAATTTTAATTATTTTCATTATTTCATCTCAGAGTGCTTTCTTAGGTGTACAAGTCAGTGGTTCAAGCCTAGGGCATGAAACAAATCCTTCCCTGAAAAGCAAGTTCTTGTACGTGAGGGAAAGGGTGAAAAAAAGGCAAATTCAAGCTATAGATAGTTTCTGTAAAATAAAATAAAAACAAAGCCCTCACCCTAGATGGGGAAAAAAACTAATTGTAATGTACCATCAGCAAACAGATAATGAGTGGGAGGGAAGTCGATCACTGGCTATACATACAGTACATGACTACATCACAGAGACATGAGTGTGTAGGTGGGAGGACGGGGGAGAAAGTACACACTGTAATTCTGCTTGAACATACTGTTAAGTAGCTCTACTGTGCCATTTGTTTTCCTATGTGGTTACCACCCAAATGGCACCCTATTCCCTATAAAGTGCACTACTTTTGACCAGAGCCTTATGGGTCCTGGTCAAAAGTAGTGTACTGAATAGGGAAAAGTGCCATTTGGGACACAACCTGTGACACTACTATCCTCCTGACCCTCCTATGTTCCCCCCACAGGGAGGAGTTCCCTCTACATCATTCTCTCCACCGGGGGTATTTTTCTCCTCATCACCTTGGTTACGGTGTGCGCCTGCTGGGGGCCATCCAAGAAGTAGGAACTGGCTTATTGACGTTTGTCTCACTCTCTACATGTTTCTGGGTGCTTCTCTGTCTGTACATGGTCCTATGGGTGGGGAAAACAGTGAGAAGAGCGGTAAAAGGCAGAAGCATATTGATAGTCAATTTCATTAAGGCCCACAAGCCTCACAAGACTCATCTGAAGGTCCCCGGTACCAGTTTAAAAAACTTATGCGGGTATATATGGAGATAGTTTAGTGCCTAAAATAAGGGGATAAATACATGTAAGATATAGGACAGACACTTCAGAACAAACTTCTTTTTTATTTTGTTTTGGACTATCTGTTGTTCCATGTAGTGAATCTGTTATTCAATGAGTTTCTATTGGCTAATAGCAGTAATGCCCCCCCTCCTCACGTATATTGTACGTTTATTGTGCAGAGAACGGCAGAAACGCCAAATGAAGCCCAGAGGTTTGGCAGTGCTGCCAAAGCATTTAATAGAACACCCTGATTATTCCCAAATCAGTCATGCAGGTAAGAAACCTAATAATAACTATTTATTTTTAATAATTTTGAAATGGTGTTCATCCAATGTATTTTTCATCCTGTTCAGTTAGAGTTTTACCAAAAATTATGACTGAACATGAACGCAAGAATCCAGTGGCACTCTACATCCTCAAAAAGGTACCTCTCTAAATAACTAAAAAGATATAAAGCTGTTACCATCAGTATCTGACTCAAAACATAACTAAATATACCCTTGTCTGAATAAATGTACATTTTATAAATCGATAAAATGCCCATAGATACTGTGGGGGTTTATAGGTGTATATTTCTCAACCCTCATTCAGCTGTTAGGATGACTACAATATCTCAATTTAGAAAATAATACAGCCAATACACCTTAGGTATTGTTTGGACCTGTTCAGAGAGCATTGTGTGTGTATGTGTGAGTATTGACTGGGTTCCCTCTTTGTAGGATTCCCCTCAGGAAGACCATGACTCACCCGGCAACATAGGCCTGGGCCCCCACTCTGAACCACCCAGAAGCCCCCCCAGCTACAGCAGCTCCCTGCCCCCCTTCACACGCTCCCCTGACCCCCCTGCCCGCTCTTCTCGCAGGTACCCCCGCACCCCAGTCAGCTCCCCCCCTTCACATCACAATAACAAGGTGCAGAACAAATCCTACACCCCGTCCCCCCCCCACACTCGAAGCTCCAGGCGCATGTTCCGCGCCCCAGTGGGCATACTGCCTGCCCCTCAGTTGGAAGAGCCCGCCCCCACACTGGAGAGCAACAGCACCACTCAGCCCTGATTGTCTATATGCAAGTCCTGGAGGGATAGTGTGTGCTGGCTTTAGTTTCAGCCCAGCACTAACACATCTGGTCTAAATTTAAGTCCATGATTAGTTGAAACAGGATCGTATTCATTAGGCACCAAAGGGAACAAACTGGACATTCATTTTATTTTTTCGTTGCAAAAGGTTTTAAAACAGTTAATTTTCAGTGCCCTAATGAAAACGACCCTGGTGTGTTGAAGTTGGGCCAGGAAAAAAGCTGGCACACACTGTGGCCCCTGTTGTCCACCCTGGCCTACATGCTTTCCCCCCTCCATGCCTTGGTGCTGCAGAGAGATGTGTATATTTCTGTATGCTCACATGGTGACTGTATGTATGTAAATACTTTTTTATGACGTTATAGTGCATTCTCTCCTCAATGGGTTTGTAAATACACTGTCATCCTCTACAGCTGTATGGGTCAGTTTTAGTTTTTAAGTTCTGACACATTAGCCTATTTCTTTATGTTACATTTAATTATGTCCCATTCTTAAGACCTAAACTGTAAAATGTATAAAACCTCTCTTTAAAGATACAAGTTCCTTGTTAGTACATTTTGTATGGTGTGGATGTTTGTAATTTAACTAATAATTGTCTGTGTTCTTGGGTATCATAGTTGAATAATCATTCAATATTTGTTTTCCTTTGTATAGATTCATAGAATTGTTAAGAAAATCAAAGGATGCATTGTACATATCAGTAGAGATGTTCAATAAACGTATGATGAGGAAATATTTGTTGTCATTTCTACATTTGTTTTACTTAAAGTTAAACTTTAGTGAAATGTTGAATGTTTCAGACACTGTCCTCAATATTGTTGGTTTTGTATGTTCAGGTGACTCGAGGCGAGCATGCATTTTTGTCATTTATCCATGCAGCTTACATGGGGTTTCCTCAGACAGTGGTAGACTGCACCCATCGTGGTCGACATCAATGCAATCTCTTAATCTCTGTTCACAGAGAATGGTTGTGCCCTGCAATAAAACAGAGGGGACATACTTTCAACACAGTACAGTACAAGCTTTATGTAATTTGTTCCTTTTTGTCTAATGCTCCTCAATCTGTTCTCACACACACAGAGAGAATCTGTTTGCTGATTCACAGTTTCACCAAGAGGACAATAGCATGCCTGTTCAGTGACCACTACGGCTGTGTAGTTGAGGCATGGAGAAGAAAGAAAGTGATTCATCTGCCTATCCCAACATATACATTAATGTATAAATTGGAGAGTGGAGACATTACACAATTTGTCCACAGAACAGGGACAGATTATCACATGCCTGGATAACAATTACGTGTTGTTACCATGTATTCTCACTAGAAAACGATGTCACTCCCTGTACTTGGACTTTTCAGTGGGCCTAAATCAAACAGCCTATTTCCATATATGTAAATGAGCAATTTATCTGCAAAAGTATTTCAAGCCAATCTAGCTTGATTCAGCTACTGGAGAAGAGTTTGACTAAATGAATTTGTAGCCGACCAGTGTAGAGAGAGTGACAACAGCTGAAATGGGGGACTGTAGCGCAGAGCAAAGCATCACAACCCTATGGTCATGACCTGTACCGCAAAAGCCCGGGCCTCGGGTACTGGCACATGCACTGCTTACATTCCTCCACTCTCTGAGTATAGTCCAGCAGACATGTGAAATACTGTAATTGTTCCATTTCATGATACAAGTATCAAACTTGGTACACTAATACTAGATACCTTAAGGAACATTTTAAAGATTGGAGGCAGTCTGGGAATGCTTACTTACAAGCCCTTAACCAACAATGCAGTTCAAGAAATAGAGTTAAGAAAATATTTCATAAATAATAAAATAAATAAAAAAGTTACACAATAAAATAACAATACCGAGGCTATATACAGGGGGTACCGGTACCGAGTCAATGTGCGGGGGTACAGGTTAGTCGGGGGGGGTGTTTCAATGTAAATAGTCCGGGTGGCCATTTTATTAATTGTTCAGCAGTCTTATCGCTTGGGGGTAGAAGCTGTTAAGGAGCCTTTTGGACCTAGACTTGGCGCTCTGTTACCGCTTGCCATGCGGTAGCAGAGAGAATAGTCTATGACTTTGGCGATATACCAGGCGGTGATGCAACCGGTCAGGATGCTCTCGATGGTGCTGCTGTAGAACCTTTTGAGGATCTGGGGACCCATGCCAAATCTTTTCAGTCTCCTGAGGGAGAAAAGGTGTTGTCGTGCCCTCTTAACAACTGTCTTGGTGTGTTTGGACCATGATAGTTTGTTGGTGATGTGGACATCAAGGAACTTGAAACTCTCGATCCAATCCACTATAGGCTGTCTCATCGTTGATGGTGATCAGGCCTACCACTGTTGTGTCATCAGCAAACTTAATGATGGTGTTGGAGTCATGCTTGGCCACGCTGTCATTGGTGAACAGGGAGTACAGGAGGGGACTAAGCACACACCCCTGAGGGGCCCCCGTGTTGAGGATCAGCGTGGCAGGTTATCTTCACTTTCTTGGGCACAGGGACTATGGTGGTCTGCTTGAAACATGTAGGTATTACAGACTCTGTCAGGGAGACGTTGAAAATGTCAGTGAAGACACTTGCCAGTTGGTCCGCGCATGCTCTGAGTACATGTCCTGGTAATCCGTCTGGCCCCGCAGCCTTGTGAATGTTGACCTGTTTAAAGGTCTTGCTCACATCGGCTACGGAGAGCGTGATCATACAGTCGTCCGGAACAGCTGGTGCTCTCATGCATGCTTCAGTGCTGCTTGCCTCAAAGCGAGCATAAAAGGCATTTAGCTCGTCTGGTAGGCTCGTGTCACTGGGTAGCTCGCGGCTGTGTTTCCCTTTGCAGTCCGTGATCGTTTGCAAGCCCTGCCACATCCGACGAGTGTAGTAGGATTCAATCTTAGTCCTGTATTGACGCTTTGCCTGTTTGATGGTTTGTCTGAGGGCATAGCGGGATTTCTTATAAGAGTCCGGATTAGTGTCCCGCTCCTTGAAAGCGGGTGCTCTAGCCTTTAGCTCGGTGCGGATGTTACCTCTAATCCAAGGCTTCTGGTTGGGATATATACAGTACCAGTCAAAAGCTTTGACACACCAACTCATTCAAGGGTTTTTCTTTATTTTATTTTTTTACATTGTAGAATAATAGTGAATATATCAAAACTTTGAAATAACACATGTGGAATCATGTAGTAACCAAAAAAAGTGTTAAACAAATGAAAATATATTTTATATTTGAGATTCTTCAAATAGCCACCCTTTGCCTTTATGACAGCTTTGCACAACCTTGGCATTCTCTTAACCAGCTTCACCTGGAATGCTTTTCCAACAGTCTTGAAGGAGTTTCCACATATGCTGAGCACTTGTTGGCTGCTTTCCCTTCAATCTGCCGTCCGACTCATCCCAAACCATCTCAATTGGGTTGTGGTCGGGGGATTGTGGAGGCCAGGTCGTCTGATGCAGAACTCCATCACTCTCCTTCTTGGTAAAATAGCCCTTATACAGCTTGGAGGTATGTTTGGTCATTGTCCTGTTGAAAAACAAATGATACTCCCACTAAGCCCAAACCAGATTGGATGGCGTATCGCTCCAGAATGCTGAGGTAGCCATGCTGTTTAAGTGTGCCTTGAATTCTAAATAAATCACAGACAGTGTCACCAGGAAAGCATCCCCACACCCTAACACCTCCTCCTCCATGCTTTACGATGGTAACTACACATGCAGAGATAATCTGTTCACCCACACCGTGTCTCACAAAGACATGGCGGTTGGAACGAAAAATCTCCAATTTGGACTCCAGACCAAAGGACAAATTTCCACCGGTCTAATGTCCATTGCTCGTGTTTCTTGGCCCAAACAGGTCTCTTCTTCTTATTGGTGTCCTGTAGTAGTGGTTTCTTTGCAGCAATTCAACCATGAAGGCCTGATTCCCACAGTCCCCTCTGAACAGTTGATGTTGAGCTGTGTCTGTGACCTGAACTCTGCAAAGCATTTATTTGGGATGCAATTTCTGAGGCTGGTAACATTTACATTTACATTTACATTATTTAGCAGACACTCTTATCCAGAGCGACTTACACATTGATGTAACTGTAGTGAACTTATCCTCTGCAGCAGAGGTAACTCTGGGTCTTCCATTCACGTGGCGGTCCTCATGAGAGCCAGTTTCATCATAGCACTTGATGGTTTTTGCGACTGCACTTTAAGAAACGTTCAGTTTCTTGAAATGTTCCGTATTGACTGACTTTCATGTCTTAAAGTAATGATGGACTGCAATTTCTCTTTGCTTATTTGAGCTGTTCTTGCCATAATATGGATTTGGTCTTTTACCAAATAGGGCTGTCTTCTGTATACCCCCCCCCCCCTTGTTACAATACAACTGATTGGCTCAAATGCATTAAGAAGGAAATGAACTTTTTAGAAGGCACACCTGTTAATTGAAATGCATTCCAGGTGACTTCCTGATGAAGCTGGTTGAGAGAATGCCAAGAGTATGCAAAGCTGTCATCAAGGCAAAGGGTGGCTATTTGAAGAATCTCAAATATAAAATATATTTTGATTTGTTTAACACTTTTTTGGTTACTACATGATTCCATATGTGTTATTTCATAGTTTTGATGTCTTCACTATTATTCTACAATGTAGAAAATAGTAAAAATAAAGAAAAATCCTTGAATGAGTAGATGTGTCCAAACATTTCACTGTTAGTGTATGTACGGTCACTGTGGGGACGACGTTGTCGACGCACTTATTGATGAAGCTGGTGACAGGTGGTATACTCCTCAATTCCATTGGATGAATCCTGGAGCATATTCCAGTCTGTGCTAGCAAAACAGTCCTGTAGCGTAGCATCCGTGTCATCTGACCACTTCCGTATTGAGCAAGTCACTGGTACCTCCTGCTTTCGTTTTTGCTTGTAAGCAGGAATCAGGAGGATAGAATTATGGTCAGATTTTCCAAATGGAGGGTGAGGGAGAGCTTTGTATGCGTCTCTGTGTGTGG